TCCAATTCTCGTTTTAAGTTTGCGTACTGCAAAAAAGTGTTGTAAGAAAACTCAGAACACCAAAATCTATAATTCATTGTTATTTAGCAAAGAGGTTTATATGGGTTTTTACTTTTTTTCTGTATCTGATATAGAGAAATCCCATAATTTATGTTAGTTTTAAATCTAGAAAACTTTTAATGCTAATAATGTTTCATTTCTGAGTGATTAGTCATACATCTGTGAAAAAAAGTCTTTCTTTTTCTTTCTGATGAATTCTTATAATTCCTCTTTCTTTGATTTTTCACACTACTCTGATTCGTACCATCAGGAAGAATTGGTGATGGCAAGGTTGCTTTCTTTCTTCAGATCCTAAAATGTATGCTGAGTATTTGAGTTTTTTATTCCCAGAAACACTTTCTAGAGTCCTTTCTGTTTCCCTGCTATTGCTGAAATCAGTAAACAAAATCAGAGAGATTGGAATGTATTAATGATTTTTCTGTATCTAATCAGAGGCAAACATTTACTAGCTTTTGCTGTTATCTGTATTTTCCTTCCGTGTACTTTAGACTTAGTCTGTCTTTCTCCTTTCTGAGTTGAAAGCTTAGCAATTTTTATTCTTTCCTTTATTCTAATTTGAGCATTTCAGCTGTAAATGTCTTTCTTTCATTATCTAGGTATTTTAGCATGTATACTTACCCTAAGAGAATCTACTATTAGTTGAAATGTTTAGTACCTTCCTAGCAGAGTCAGTCAAATGAATGTTCCCATTTCCCCTCTTCTTTGTACGCTTATCACTGCTTGTACTTAGTACTAGCTTACATTTTGAACACCCAAGGTTTCCAGACTTCATTTTTTTGTCCAACTTGTTTCTCTGAGAGACTTCACTGAGCCCTCACTTCTTACCTCTGTCCCTTCCTCAGAAGGCAGAGGTGATCTGTTCAGCTCACATACATTATAGATCATTCTTCAACTGCCACATTCATATTTTCTACCAGGCTACATTTTTCAACACTAGATCCATATATCCTACAATTTACATGTCTCTCAGGCATTTCAAATTTATCAATAGGTTAATTGAGACTTTCATCAACCTTCTCCACCCCATACCTCCAATTTGATCCTCTTTGGCATTTATTGTATTAAAAAATTACATTCCTTACCAATTTACTCATTCATTTTTTTGAGAGAATGAACTTTGCCTTCACCATCACTACATCTAAATCAACCAAAGAGTTTAGTTAGTTTTATGGAGATCTCGTATTGTTTCTTTCTTTTCACCTCCACGGTCTGCTATGCTAGTATGTATCCAGTCCAATGTTTTTTAGCCTTTTTCATCTCCTGGCACACCTCAACCTATAGTTAAACTTCCATGGCACACTTAAATTTTGTTAATTAAAGAAAACAAATTTAAAAAAGAATATACTTACTGTACTTTGAACTTCTTTCAAAAATAATGATGTTTAAAACTTTGTGGCGCACCTGAGATCCAATCACGGTACACCAGTGTGCTGCACCACACCAGTTGACAGTCCCTGGTCGAGGCTAAGCCACGACACACCTTATCTGAAGCACAGTAACAATCACTGGAGATGTAAATCCCACTTGTCATTACTTAGAAGCAATACATTGCAGACTGAACGTGCAATTAGCATGTTAACTGGTTTCCCTACTTCCAGTTAAGTTCCATCCCAGTCCATTTTCTACATGGCAAATATTGCAGTATTAAAAATTATAAATATGTGGTTGCTCTCTTACACCTGTAATCCTCATGACTTGGAAGGCTGAGGTGGGAAAATCACTTGTGTCTAGGAGTTTGAGACCAGCCCAGGTGAAAAATTAACCAGGCATCACGGCATGCACATGTAGTCTTAGCTACATGGGAGGCTGAAGCGGGAGGATCACTTGAGCCCAGGAGTTTTAGGTGGCAGTGAGCTGTGATCATGCCAGTGCATGCTAGCCTGGTGACAGAGTGAGACCCTGTCTCTAAAATAAAATAAAATTATACATCTGATCATGTTATTCCATTACTAAAAGCCTTCAGTGATCCTGGCATGCTTGCATTTAATAAAGGCCAGATGCTTTAACGTGTCCTCCAAGCCCCTGCATGACCTCATGCCTGCCTCCCTCTCCAGCCTTGTCACCATCCAGTTTACTCATTTCACTACACTTCCCAAGCCATCTTTTATTATGGGACCTAAGGGTGCAATCTCTTCCCTAATGCATGATCGCCACAGTGCTCTTCTTAGTACCCGGAATATTAAAGGCTTTTCCTTTCTTTCTCCCTCCCTCGCACATAAACTCCCTCGCACAATTCACATTCATGTTTTAGCCTAAATGTCACTTTCTTACGGAGTCCTTTCCTTACTCGTTCCAAGTTAAAATTATGTCCTCAAGGGACTCTATGCTTTTCTTTCCCATCACAGATGCGATTAACAGTGTTTGTGTGTATGTGTGTGATTATTTAATGTCTCTCCCTACCAGACAGTAAGTTCTAGAAATAGGAGACTGGTTCCATTCTTTTTCTTTTTTAAATCCAACAGTTTTGTCACAAGATACCTATTATCTTGTACATTGCTTTGGAACATGGGCATTGATGGCTGTTACATGAAAGAATGTCTGACTGTGTGCCATACCAGAGTAGGATAGAGGGCACTATACTTGAACTGTAAGAAACACAATGATGGTTTTATATCTGGGTTCTCTGTTCTAGTGTCAGTACTGTGCTGTGTTGGTTACTGTGGCCTTACAATATAGCTTGAAGTCTGGTAAAGTGATGCTTCCTGATTTTTTTTTCTTAAGATTGCTTTAGCTATTCAGGGTCTTTTCTGATTTCATATAAGTGCAAAATTATTTTTTCTAGATCTGCAAAAATTGACATTGGTATTTTAATGAGTATTGCATTGACTCTGTTAATCACTTTGGGTAGTGTAAACATTTTAACAATGTTGATTCTAGCTATCTATGAGCATGATACATTTTTCCATTTGTTTACATCCTCTGTGATTTCCTTCCTGAGTGTTTCATAGATGTCCTTGTAGAGGTCTTCCACCTCCTTGGCAAACCACCCTCATATTGCCATTTGATCTTTACAAAGCAGACAGAAATACATAATGAGGAAAAGACTCCCTCCTCAATAAGTAGTACTAGGAAAATTGGATAGCCACATGTGGAAGATTAAAGCAGAATCCACACTTCTCACCACTCACAAAAATTAATTGACAATAGATAACAGACTTAAACCTAAGGCATGAAACTATAAGAATTCTAGAAGAAGTGGTTGAAAAGACTCTTATTAATATTGGCCTAGGCAAAGAATTTATGAAGAAGACCCCAAAGGCAGTCACAGCAACAACAAAAATTAATACATGAAACCTGATCAAATTAAAAAGCTACACAACCAAGGAAACAGACAACAGAGTAAATAGACTACTACAGGATAGGAGAAAATATTTGTATGCTGTAACATTTGATAAAGGGCTAATGACCAGAATGTACACAGAATTCATACAAATAAGCAAGAAGACATCAAACAACCCATAAAAAAGTGGTCAAAAGTCATGAGCAGAAGCTTTTCAAAAAAAGGTAAGACTTTGGCCAAGAAACCTGTGGAAAAATGCTCAACAGTCTCTAATCATCAAGGGAATGCAAATCAGAACCACAGTGACATAACTCCTAACTCCAGTAAAAACAGCTTTTATCCAAAAGTCTCAAAACAGTAGATGCTGGCATGGATGGCGAGAAAGGAACACTTATGCACTTTTGGTGAGACTGTAAACTAGTACAACCTCTTTGGAAAGTAGTATGGAGATACCTCAAAGAAGTAAATGTAGATACTACCATTTGATCCCACAATCCCACTACTAGACGTTTACCCAAAGGGAAAAAAATCATTCTATAAAGAAGACCCTTGCATTCACATGTCCAGCATAATCCATAATCACAAAAGATATGGAAACAACCCAAGTGCCCATCAGTACATGAGTGGATGAATAAAATGTGGTATACCATGGAGTATTACTCAGCCATAAAAAAGTGGTGAACTGATACCTTTGTACCAACCTGGGTGAAACTAGAGACCATGCTCCTCTAAGTGAAGTATCACAAGAGTGGAAGAACAAACACCACGTGTGCTCACTTTTAAAATGAAACTAAATGATCAACACAAATGTGTACAGATAGCAGTAGAATTCCATAGAGATCAAGCAGGTGGAGGGGGAGTAGGCGATGAGTAAATTCATACCTAACAGTCACAATGCACACTGTCTAGCGGGATGGTCACAATTACACCTCTGACTCAAACTGTACAAAAGCAATGCATGTACCGAAAACTTTTGTACCTTCTTTGAAGTAAGTGGTAATAATACCAAATTTAAAACAACCATGGTAGCATAGACTTTTCATTTATCTGTCTTTTAGCACATGGTAGGTGGTCAATGGGTGTTTGAAGTAATAATAGTTGGAAAAGAAAAAGGAAGAGAAAACAGGGGAAAGGAATGGAGGGCAAAAGAAATAGAAAGGAAGTGAAAAAAAGCTGTAAACCCAAATTGAGATGATGAGACGTTATGCCAGTCTCCCCATCTCTCACTAAAAAAATAATCTTAGGCAATGTCTATGAAATGTTAGCATGCAATAAAATAGGAAACTGCTTGTTTAAATTGGAAAACTTGCATATGGTTTTTTGTGATTTTACTTAATTAATTTTTATATTCATTGTTTTTCGGTGAGAGCATAAAGAATACCAGATACAGTTACACTCCCGTTCCGACGTGCCCCTGTGAGCGTGTGTGTACTCTTTATTCACATTCTAACTTTTCAAAGTCTTATAAAGTCAAAGTATGTTTTTATGTTTCCTGTTTTCTTAAATTTATGGATACTTATTTTTCCTCCAAAAAAAGGACTTCCCTTTGCATGCCATTATACAGAATATGTTTAAAAGTATTTTATAAACTATAAAATGTGTCAACATGCTTATTAATTAGGTCTAAGTAATCATTTCCTACTTATTTCCAAAATTATAGAAAAATATGTCGTAACTGCAAGTGCGGCCAAGAAGAACATGATATTCTCTTAAGCAATGAAGAGGATCGAAAAGTGGGGAGACTTTTTGAAGACACCAAGTACAGCACCCTGATTGCAAAACTAAAATCAGATGGAATTCCTATGTATAAACGTAATGTTATGATACTGACCAACCCAGTTCCTGCCAAGAAGAATGTCTCCATCAACACAGTTACCTATGAATGGGCTCCTCCGGTCCAGAATCAGGCATTGGTAAGAGTGGGGAGAGGGTTCCCTCTGAAGTTCCTACACTATTTATTTAGGTCAATATCTTTAGTGACCTATTCAAACTCACAACACCACAGATCTATTTTTTTTCCCTGAGGTTCTCATTACTTTGACTTCAAACTCCTATTACATTCCTTTGAAAATAAGACTAAACTCCTCACAAAAATTTTCTTACTACCTAGATTTGTTTATCCTTCTGAGGGAAACATCTAACATTCTCAATAATTAGATGAAAATCATATTTTTGTATCAGTCTAGTAGCTCTTCTAGCTCACTCTTGAGAAAATTTCTCATAAAATTATAAAGAATAGAATTTCTTCTATTGTTTAGAACTGAAATTAAATGTTCAGCATCATATTCTTTTACTACATAAAGCAAAAAAAATGCAGTTTTGTCTCAAACTCTTTACACTATTATAACACTAGGCAAAACATTTGGAAATCTTTTAAGATTAAAGTGGATCTTGTGATGATATTTTTTGTGTGATTAAAAACACTGCTGATTCATTGGCTATTCTAAATTGTCTGCCTAAAAATTGTATTTTCTTTCTATTATACAGTTATTTGGCTACTGAACCAAATATTTTTAAAAACAATAAGACAAAAATTTGTTAGAGAAATTAACCTAACTAAATCTATTTAGAGTATCATTTTTTAATGTTAACATCTCAAGATATTTATACTATGAAGATGAGTTGTTACTATTGAATAAAACCCACTTCTTTCTTAAGTAACTTGCTTCTGATGTGTTATAAAATATCACACTGCCCGCTGGCCGCGGCATCTCCTGGTTAACACTGGTCTTCTGATGGTGCAGGCCAGGCAGTACATGCAGATGTTGCCCAAGGAAAAACAGCCAGTGGCAGGCTCGGAGGGGGCACAGTACCGGAAGAAGCAGCTGGCCAAGCAGCTCCCTGCACACGACCAGGACCCTACAAAGTGTCATGAATTGTCTCCCAAAGAGGTGAAGGAAATGGAGCAATTTGTGAAGAAGTACAAGAACGAGGCTCTGGGAGTAGGCGACGTCAAACTTCCCCGTGAGGTGGTGGATCAAGGCCCCAACCAAATGTACATCCCTGGTGGAGACCGAAGCACTTCTGCGGCCGTGGGGGCCATGGAGAACAAATCTCACGAGCACAGAAGAACTCACTATGTAAGTGGAGTGGTCACATTGTCGGCCAGATTAGTGTATTTTATAGATGTTTTCCCTCTCTTTGAACTTTTTTTGGGGGGGCTCTTCCTCTGTTTCCAAAAGAGAATAAGTAAGAGAAATAAATTGAATTAATATTCATTTTAGACTTCCCCTAGAGAGTCCTCATGTTTGAAACTTCTGTCAAAAGCCAAATTTTCTATTTATTGTCCAGGAAAATTGTGAGTTTTATGTACAGGTAGTATTTGGCATTGGGATGGCCAACATACTAATCTAGAATCTGTTTCTAGATATAATTTTGGTGTTGCTTGTTTGTATCTTCCCATAAATAAGAATAATATATACTTAGGTTAGTACAGTTTTACTTATGAGGACATGCCTAAAATTCAAACTTAAATTTATGTGATAGTCAAGCTTTTTTTTTAAGTCTCTTCTAGAAATTAAGGTCTTTTGCTAATGACTTGGAGACAGAAGATAATTATGACACAGATGAACAAAGCATAAGAAGAAAACTTACTGTAATATGTTTCTCCTAGATCCAGCAAGCACATCCAGTCATAAGGCTTAGTCCTGAAATAAAGAGTATTTATAAGCTCTAAGGTAATGATTGTTGAGGGAAAGTACTTAAAATTTAGGTGTAAATTACTATTTTCCTTTTTCCATAAGTGACATTCATTCAGGAAACAATTCCCCATGACCCAGAGGGTGAATGAAGTAGGTTTGAGCAGCCTGGAGAAAGCTCAGATTTCATTTCACAGAACTATTAATATGGCAACAAATTAGTAAAAATTTGTGATTTTACTAGAAATGATTTCTCTTGAAAGTTGTTCTCTGAATTTCTGCAGAAGCCAGTGGTAAGAAATGGCAGTCTTCTGATAACTTGAGACGGCTTTCTTTTCAGGCCTGCTATTGCTGCAAAATGAATATGAAGGAAGGAGATCCAGCCATCTATGCAGAAAGGGCTGGCTATGACAAACTGTGGCACCCGGCTTGCTTCGTCTGCAGCATCTGCTATGAACTCCTGGTCGACATGATTTACTTCTGGAAGAATGAGAAGCTGTATTGTGGCCGACATTACTGTGACAGTGAGAAACCCCGGTGCGCTGGCTGTGATGAGGTATGTTCTCCTGGCTACCCACATGCAGGTTTCCTCTCTGGTCCCTTTTCCCGGACAGCAATAGGAATTAAACAAACAGCAGTTGCTTTATTTGCATCTAAAAGAGTTTAATAAAAGAAACTTTTGATATCATTCATTCTGAGTGTCTGTGTTAATTGTGTTGGCTAATGAAAGACAGCCCAAAAATATAAATGATTTATTTGGACTAAACTAAAGTGATAATATTAAGTCTAAGATTTTGGTTATAATTTTCAGACTTTGAACCCCAGGTAAATATGTTGATATACTTGTGCATGGCTGATGACTAGCTTTGTCATTGATTCCAAAAATGAAAATGCATAATTCATGTTATTTTTATCTTCTTCCCAGCTAATATTCAGCAATGAGTATACCCAGGCAGAGAACCAGAACTGGCACCTGAAACATTTCTGCTGCTTTGACTGTGACAACGTCCTAGCAGGGGAAATATACGTGATGGTCAATGACAAACCTGTCTGCAAGCCCTGCTATGTGAAGAATCATGCTGTGGTGAGTCCCATCCTAAGGATACGGTTGCTTCAGCCTGCTCTACATCTTGAGTTTATGCCTCTGTCTGAGCTTCTTACAAATGGGAAACAGCACTTCTTAAGTAGAAAGTGTGTGATTCCCACCATATGGTGTTAAAATCCAGGCAGTTCAAACACAGTACATGCATGGACAAATAAAAGAAGGATTAAAATGTAAAAACTTTTGGGGTGGCACGTGTGGCTCAAAGGAGTAGGGCGCCAGCGCCATATACCAGAGGTGGCGGGTTCAAACCCAGCCCTGGCCAAAAACTACAAAAAAAAGTAAGAACTTTCTGAAATATTAGAAGTTTAAGAACATAGGAAAATGAAAGGCCATGCAGAAAGTGGTGAAGCTCATTATGTGCAAGGTTTCTGCAGTCCCTAGACCCTCAGGGCAGCCTGGGTCACCATTACATTTTTGTAGAAGTAATGATCAGTAGATTTTACCTGGAATTATATGGTCAGACTTCACAATGAATGGTAATGAAATCACTGACAAAACTAAATTTTATGAAACTACAAACCCTGAATTCTCTGTACCATTCTTATGTTCATTAGTTATTTTTTTTACCTAAATAACTAATTTCAAATGTAATTGAACAGTAGTTATCTCTGTTTCATAAATTGTACATGAAAATCTGTGTTTCAATTAATTATGTAAGAAGGCAGACCATGATCTGAAAGCAGGGGAATATAACATTGAGTGTGAAATCCTATTTTACTCCAAAAGAGTTTGAAATATTTGCATAAACAATTTTATACAATATTTCCATAAATAGGTTTAAAAATATCAAAAACACAAGGAAATGATAGTTTAGATTATGGGTATGCTAATTACCCTGATTTGAACATTATACAATGCATGTGCAGCTAGAAACATAAATATGTACAATTATTATGGGTTAATCATAAATAAAATAAATTTAAAAATTGAAAGATTAATATAAAGTGTAGAAAACTATAAGATAACATTCTAAATGAATTATAAAGCGATAAAAGTAATATATAAAAAAATAGATATAACAGTAGTTGCTTGCATGGTATAACTACAAATTAGGAATGGACTTCTAATTGTACTTATTTTGTTGTATTAAGGAATATTTTTTGTTGTTTTTTTGCCCTTGGTAAAAAACTTTGTTGCCCTTGGTAGAGTGGCATGGCATCACAGCTCACAGCAACCTCAAACTCCTGGGCTCAAGTGATCCTCGTGTCTCAGCCTCCCACATAACTGGGACTACAGGAGCCCACCACAATGCCTGGCTATTTTTTTGAGACAGGATCTCGCTCTCGCTCAGGCTGGTCTCAAACTCCTGAGCTCAGGCAAGCCACCCGCCTTGGCCCCCCAAAATGCTAAGATTACAGGCACGAGACACCACACCCGCAGGAATATTTATTAATTATGCAAGGAAAGTATCCCTTATTTCTAAGGTAAGACTAAATTGATATAGTTTATGGATTGCAGAGATAATCTCTATAAGCATTGTAGCTCTAAAAAATATGGAAAGTTAATTGCAGGCCTGAAATGGATATACGTAAGAAGGCCTTACTTCCCTGCCAGTTTACCCACGGAGTAGCATTCACATTTTGAAGTCTTTTCACAGGAGGCTTCTCAGGCTGTAAAATGGCCCTCTTAGCCTTCATATCTAATCATCCCTTATCATTCAATAATTCCTGACAGTCACATTAGGAGATCAACCGTGCTTAAGATAAATTCAGTACTGAACAATCTTTTGGCTTCTTTACTTCTTATAAAGTATTTAAAACAAAAATGTTAGTCACATTCACTTAAGACATGTATAACCCAGAGGGCATGTGGACTATCCAGTGTTTGCAAGGTCTCAACTGGTTGTTTTGTTTTCTGCTATAACATAGAAGGTTATTCCATTTTTCTTCATATATATACTTAATTAAGAGGAAAATTGTATGATTGTGGCTGTATATATATGTACGTATATATATATATATGCATGTGGATGTCATGCATGTATTTGTCCATAACATACCATGTGATACTGAACAGTACAAGGATTGTAAGTATTAATGTTCTACAATATTTGATTATACATAAATTATGACTGATTTTATGACAGAACAGAAGCCAATTAACTACAAGTTATATTTTAGTGCAAACTCATTAGTCTCAAACACTGTCAGTATTTTTAATTGAGTCCTTAATTACTTTTAACATGACTAATTTGCTACATTCTGGAAATTAGTATTAATAATCTCATGTGTGATAGGTAAAACTAGTAAAATTACCACTTCAAAAATTTAATGAAGAAAAATCGTCTTATAAATTATAATTCTTTATCATTACTAATGTGTAATTTAATAGAATATGCCAGAATCAAGTACACTGCTTTGGAATTTGTCATCAAAACTCTCCACCTTGAATGCCATGGAGCTCTCTTACAAGCATCGGATCACCTGTTGGCCTTCACCTATAGTTTCTCACGATGCTCAGCATATGTATATAGACTTCCTTTACAGTTGTTGGCTAAAAAGGTTAACTAGAGACCTGAGAAGGTCAACTCTCCATTGTTCATTTCCAGGGTTGTCATAATTATGAGTTTTAATTTATCATCTCAAGAAATGTGTTCAGTTTGTCCTCAGATGAAAATGTTACTGTCACAGTTTGCTGTCTCATCCTCTTCTCATGCCTCTGTTATTACTTAAAAGGTATGTCAGGGATGCCACAATGCCATTGATCCAGAAGTCCAGCGGGTGACCTACAATAACTTCAGCTGGCACGCATCCACTGAGTGCTTCCTGTGCTCCTGCTGCAGCAAGTGTCTCATTGGGCAGAAGTTCATGCCAGTAGAAGGGATGGTTTTCTGTTCGGTGAAGTGTAAGAAGATGATGTCTTAAGGGCACCGAGAAGTATCAGCTCTCCATGTTGGTCTGCATTTCTACTGTAAAATCCAATTTGAAACAATAAAAAGCAAAAAAGGACATGTAAAAGAAACCAGGAGATTTCGTTCCAAATCTGTCTTTGCTATTTTTTATCAACTTTTTTTTTCTATCTCAACTTTTATACCCTGCTGTAACCAATTGATTTTAAAAATGTTAAAGAATTTTATCTTTCCTTTGCTTTCTAAATGTGAAATCGTTGAGTTAGAAGCTTTGGTTTTAATTAAACTTCATTCCCTATCCCCTTTGTGCCATTTATACATAAAACACTTAAAAATTAGTGCACTGAGTGGAAAGATGAGTATTTCTAGTTCTATACTCTTTTTTCCCCCTTGTGTGTGAAATAGAAAGGAAATTAAATTTGCCCTAATGCCAAGGCATGTATTGACTCATCTGATTCACTGATCTTTGTTATGATACGCACTGAATGCTTTTTCACAGAAAATAGGAGTGCAGTGTAGTCTGGTATTCACAGAGCCGGTATTACAATGCCTATGCATTTGCTGTTTTCTGACTTAGACAGAGGCGGCATTCTCTTTGTTGCATTTCTCTAATTTTTTTATCATGTGCCCTACCTCTCAGTATTCTCTTTGTAAGTTGGTGACCTCCATCTGTGGCCTTGAATATTTTATTATCACATGTGGTATAACAATATCCACTTTTTGCTTCTATAGATAATTCTTGGCTTATGTATAAAAGCCAAACCACTCATTTATATTGCTTTTAATCCAAAGAACATGTATAATTTTTGTACCTAGAAAACTGTGACTTATCCTGTTTGCACTTTCCTTCCATGGTTCAGATATAATATTTTCATGGTTTTCTTTTCTACTGGATCTTGTTTTATGATATTTGTAAGCCTATTATGGATATATTGAATGTCTTCTTCACTTACACAATTTCATCCTTCGCTATTTCTAATGTTCCGTTTTTCTGTATACTTTTATACATGGCTATGCACAATGAAAACCAAATGGGATGAATGCTGTGTATATTATTATTCAAAATAAAGTTTCTTTCACTGTAATGATTGTTCTTTATATTGTTTGAGGGGAAAAAAATCCTTCTGCAATTAAGCATATGTTACAGCAGGGGGCGATCTCTCCAAGGAGAAAAACCACCCAAACAAAAATAAAGGCCATTTCTGACAAGATAGAATAGAAACTGGACTTTTATTATGGAGAAGAGCAGAGTTTTATAAAACTTTAAAATAAATCAGGACATTTTTGGATTATGCAAGATTTTTTTTTCGGTTTGAGAGGAGGGAAAACGTTAATTGAAGTTTCAGACTTTATTTTCTCTTCAGGTGAATCTAACAATCATTACTTGAGTTGCAACTCTGTTTCCTAGTATATAAGGGAAACAAAGAATTTTTCATGGAAGCCTATTGTGATAAAGGAAGAACATGGAGAATGGTAGTAAATTAACCCTTCCTAATATTAGCAGAAATGTTTTTCCCTCAGTCTGAAGTATTTCTGTCATTGTGGGAATAGCAGTTTTCTCTGACATGTACCCAAAATAATTCAATTTCTTTCCAGCTCATGTTTGTTTGGCCAATAGTGTTTCTTTTTACATTTCACCCACACACACACATATGCAGAAAAATACACTTTCATTCCTTCTGCACTGTGTCTTCCCCAACCATGGAAAGGTATCCTGTTGCATGAACAAGTCACCTTTTTTCAGGAAGCTAGTTCTGCATTCAAATTTAAATGGTAATTTTACAAATATCCTTTATTGTCTATAAGTATTAATTTAGTCTCATCTTCTTGCCCTTATTTGAAATGGCAGCAGATCTCTTTGCCACAGCAGTTTGTCGACATTGGTTAAACAACTTTTCCTGGACGTGGCCGAGTGACTGAAATCAAGTGAAGCAGAAGCCCTACTTGCCTACACAGCCAGTCTTACGAAGAAGTCAGTTGCTCTTGGGGCTTATTGGCCTTCATATTTGTTGCATGGTTTCTTTATTTTCTTTCTTTTAGAAATGAAAGGCTGAGTATTGTTTTTCTTTAGCTAAAACTTCTCTGAAGTCTTTGAGCACAAATTTCCAAATCTGACTTTGAAGTATTTCAGCCCAGTTTCTCTAAAGGCAAGGGACTCATTACTGATTCATTCCCAAGGAATTTCCAACACATAGTGTTTAAGCTCATCCAACTTCACCATAGTTACCAAAGAGACACCACCACCCAAGATCAGCATTAAGCCTTTGTCTTGAGATGCCTTGGCACATCTGAACTTGTCTTCTGGGTATTCACTTAATTCCTTAGAAAACTTATGACTGTATTCAGTGTCTTCATAAAAAGGCACTTTACCACAATTTCTTACTAGATACTCTGCCCTATCCTGACCTCTGCTGATTTAAGTGCTTAATGACAACTTTGATAATTACACTGAATCCTTAACATGTATGAAAAGGACCCACTGTACTGGGAAATACGGGTGTGTTTTGAGCACACAACCTAAAGCTTGGTTCTATTCTGACCTGATTAATAGGATATTGTTTTCATGTATTTACTAGAAGCTTAAATAGCTTTGGCTAATTATTTTGTCCTCTCATGGGGTCATTGTAGCCTCTATTTGATAGTATATTTTGAAACACTCAAAACAAGATGTCATTAACCTTTTATACTTGTTTTGAATGCATGTACGCATTTATGACATTTGTGAAGGCTGCTATTGATTTTTCTTCAATGACACTTCTCCCCACATCTTGACCTTCAGACTACAACAAAAGCAACTTTTGCCCAGTTTTCTTTACTAGAGTCAGCCATTACTGAATACAGAGACATTAGAGTTTACTTCTCCATAAATAATTGACTGCAAAGGCATCACAGTATAATTAAAAGGAGGGCTGATTTAGGAGTTGAGGCAGACTCCTGCTGCCACACACCCCCACCCCCGATTCTCCTCCTCCCCACAGTCCAAGCAGGACTGAGTAGGATGGAGGCAAGATTGTTGGATTTGAAGAGTGGAGGAAATAATAGTCCCAAGTGTTGGATGGATGTAATAAGAATAACAGATTGGTGGAGAGAAGAGTGAGTCGGGCTGAAGTTACCGAAGAATAAGAAGTATTCTGGAATTTGATAGAAGATGGCAACTCAGGTTAGAATACGTGCCAGAGTCTAAGGGGCCAAGCACTAGATCTCAAAGAGCTGTGATTGTTAGGAAACTAACAAAAAAAGTAATGGAAATAACAGAGGAAAATGAGGACAACTACCCCCTGTGGAGACAAAATAACCAGCCTCTGGTTATACGTATGGTTCTGAAGTTTAGGGTTTCTGCCGGCTCATAAGATGAGATGGGGACATCGTTTAGGGATATCTGTCTCAGTCAGGATTTCACTCAGAATTAGAACAAGAAACACCATGAAGTCCTTGGGGTGCTGGTTACAGGACTTTGCTTGGTTTGCCCCTCCCGCCATCTCATTCCATGTATCAGATCCATTGCCATATCACAGGTCATTTTTAAATTCTTCATCAAGCACCACTCTCCCCACCACCATCACAGAAGTGATAACTTACTCTTTGGTACCCTTACCATGCTGATTTATCTGGCCATCTGAAACACATTTCCATCTGTCTACTCCGGCCTCTCCATTACCACAATCAACACTAGTTGATAAACTTACTGTTTCTCACCAGGCATATGAACACTAAGTTCAAATCAGGTCTCCTCTCTCTAGTTCCACGCTTGGTATAATCAATAGTTCCTAAGCTTTAGTGTGCATCACAGCCACCTGGAGGTTGTGTTAAACACAGATTACTGGACCCGACTCCCCAGAGCTGCTGATTTAGTAGACCTGGGATGGGGCCTGAGTATTAGTCTTAACAAGTTTCTGAGTGATACTGCTGCTGATGGTCTGGGTCCACATTTCATGAAACATCGTTCTGATCCTGAGAAAACTGAGGAAAAAACTAAACTCACTTTTTCCTACCAAAGTCACAACACATTTCTGATACCAGATGTGAGAGATTATTTTCCCACGTGCCAGGCTATCAATCAATTACTCAGCAAACACTAGCTAATGTCCTTCAATTAAATTCTGAGGCACCCTACCTGTAGACATTGTTAGATCTCACAGGCTGAGAGCTCAGTCCCACAAACCAATCTCAAGTCCCAGGATGTTTCACCTGTGCTGACCAATCAGCTTTAAACTGGGGTTCCCAGAACTTCCACCGTGAGTTTGATTAATTTGCTAGAGTGTCTCACAGATCTCAGAGAAAGTTAACCTGCATTTACCAGTTTGCTATAAACTACAGTACAAAGGATACGGGCGGAAAGATAATATCAGGGAGGCCTGTGCAAAGGGCTGCTGCATTTCTGCCCACCCTCTGGGCACGCCTCCCTCCAGGAACCTGCATGTGTCCAGCTATTCAGAAGATTCAAGAACACTGTCCTTTGGGATTTTACAGAGACTTTATTACATAGCTCATTTGATTTAATCAGTGACCATTTGTGATCAACTTAACCTTCAGCCCGCCTCCCTTCCCTGGAGGTTGTGTGGTGAGCTGAAAGTTCCAACTGTGTAATCATGCCTTGTCCTTTTTTTTTTTTTTTTTTAACTAGGATACCTGTAATTTATTAGTTTTTTATTTCAAGATATTACGTAAGGCTCATCACCTGTAGCTCAGCAGCTAGAGCGCCAGCCACATACCCCGGAACTGGCAGGTCCAAATCCAGCCTGGATCTGCCAAACAACAATGACAACTACAGTCAAAAAATATCCAGGCATTGTGCTGGGGGCCTATAGTCCCAACTACTTGGGAAGCTGAGGCAAGAGAATCACTTAAGCCTAAGAGTTTGAGGTTGCTGTGAGCTGTGACACCATGGCATTCTACCCAGGGTGACAGTTTAAGACTATTTTTCAAAAAAAAAAAAAATTACTTAAGAGGGCACAGTGTTTTTGTTGCATGATATCTTCTATAATGCTTAAGTCAGAGCTTATGGTATGCCCATCACCAGAATAATGTTCATTTTACCAAATAGATACATTTTTATCCTATACCTATCCTCTCATCCCCCCAGCCTCCCCCACTTTCTTGGTTTCTCA